CGACAGATTTCAAGTCCGATTCGAAATAAGAGCGGTAGAGGTTGTGCGTCAGTAAATTTACATAAAAATGCTAGACATAAAAAAGCGCACGTAAATTTTCTACCCCTTAGAAGTTACCTTGGACGATCTAACCCACGTATAATATGTAAAAATGTGCGTAGAATCCAATGGTATCGACAGATTTCAAGTCCGATTCGAAATAAGAGCGGTAGAGGTTGTGCGTCAGTAAATTTACATAAAAATGCTAGACATAAAAAAGCGCACGTAAATTTTCTACCCCTTAGAAGTTACCTTGGACGATCTAACCCACGTATAACCCTGAATCACTGAAAAACATCGCAATATTACATATTGTAGATAATAAAATGAGTTCATTTTCAAAAAAACGTCGGTAAATGTAGATCAATTATTGGCAGTCAATTGCTTCATAAAAGGTTTTCTTGGCTAATACATTTCCAAATGCTGGTAATCATACGCATGCATAAGTGAAAAAAAAAGGTCTTGTAAATTCTCTACATCTTAATAAAAACTATTTTGGAGAGTCTGATTAACTAGTACCAACAGATTTTAAGTACGATTCAAAATAACAGTAGTAGAAGTTGTGGGTTAGTATTATAATATATAAAACTGCTAGACATAAAAAAGGGCACGTAAATTTTCTACCCCTTGAAAGTTACCTTGGACGCTCTAACTCACGTATAATATGTAAAAATGCGCGTAGAATCCAATGGTACCGACAGATTTCAAGTGCGATTCGAAATAAGAGCGGTAGAGGTTGTGCGTCAATAAATTTACATAAAAATGCAAGACATAAAAAAGCGCACGTAAATTTTCTACCCCTTAGAAGTTACCTTGGACGATCTAACCCACGTATAATATGTAAAAATGTGTGTAGAATCCAATGGTATCGACAGATTTCAAGTCCGATTCGAAATAAGAGCGGTAGAGGTTGTGCGTCAGTAAATTTACATAAAAATGCTAGACATAAAAAAGCGCACGTAAATTTTCTACCCCTTAGAAGTTACCTTGGACGATCTAACCCACGTATAATATGTAAACATGCGTGTAGAATCCAATGGTATCGACAGATTTCAAGTCCGAATCGAAATAAGAGCGGTAGAGGTTGTGCGTCAGTAAATTTTCATAAAAATGCTAGACATACATAAAAAAGCGCACGTAAATTTTCTACCCCTTCAAAGTTACCTTGGACGATCTAACCCACGTATAATATGTAAAAATGTGTGTAGAATCCAATGGTATCGACAGATTTCAAGTGCGATTCGAAATAAGAGCGGTAGAAGTTGTGCGTCAGTAAATTTACATGAAAATGCTAGACATAAAATAATATGTAAAAATGTTCGTAGAATCCAATGGTACCAACAGGTGCAGTTCGAGATAAGAAGCCGATCGTCCTTTAGGTGTACCTACACTCGTTGTATACGAATTCGATAAGTAGAATGCGTTGCCTTTACTGTGCACTTTTTATTCAAAGGCATTGTGAAAAAATGATTTCATTTTCATTAGCCACCCTGTATTAAGTGGTTCCAATTTAACAACTTCATGTTTCGAAACTGTAAGTTCATTTACACTGTAAAAGTTCGGTGCTAAGCGATCCGAATCAAAATGAAGAAAATGCAACCGGGTACTCGTTAGTCACACTGAAATTATAATAGATACATTCATTACTTCAGCGGCTTTGCTGTCGAAGTTTGCACTTTTATAAGTAACAGTAGCATTTTGATTACAAAGTTTGTGATAGTGTGATTTATTTAATAATAATTCGATTAAAATGTCGGACGATGAGAACGCAGTTGAGGAAAATGGTGTAGACGGTTGCAAGTAAGTTTTCACTGTACCTACGGTTTAGACTTTAGAATGAAAAAGAAAATTGTATGCACTCCAATATCTTTTTTTTTTTATTTTTTGGTCTTTTTTGATGCTTCTACTGCACTCTAAATGTCTGTTTATTAATTACAATGCGTTTGTATTGTAACATACTTTGACGCGAAATAAAAAATAAATTTTATCTGTCAGTAGAAAACTGGATCAAATTGTGAGTAATTCGTTCAAGGATGCGTCGACTACAGTAATCAATAGCAAAAATGAAGGTTAATAGAACAGGGTACTTAAAATGTCCTGTTTTGGTCAATGTCGTACACGACATATATAGGTATAGCAACAGATGTGATTTATTTGAAATATTTGCAAGTAAAATTCAAATAAAAAATAAAAAATACTTATTTTTATCTGGAATTTAAATACTTTTTTGA